TGAGCGTGTAAATGAAAGCTGTTACTTATAGGAACTTTTACTCGACCCTGTTTCATGAGACGGATTTCTGAAATAAAATTAGGGACAGGTCCAACAGTCAAATTTGAAATGTTATCATCTATGATTTTAAAGAAAAAAAAGCTAGACAACCATATTTTACTGTAGTACTATCACGATATATCAGATTACTTTGTCATACTACTGTAAATTACACTTATGAACTATAATGAGAGTAATGATAACTTGACATCATTTTGTCTTTAATGCTAGTTGAATAACAATGACGTCTAAATTGATAATGACTTCCATTTTTAAAAACCAAGACACTTCCAGCCAGAAAAAGCCACCAAAACCTGGTACACAGGTACCATCTGGTAACTTGTAATGCCCTTGACAAATATTTCCAACTATAGGCTTTTAGAAAAACCTGTCCTTTAATGTCTTTTTGGCTGATGTCTTTGGAACGATTTGATCAGCAATAGCCTGAAGTTTAGTTCTCTCCTAGTTAATCACACTGCTCTCCACTACTATAAACAGAACTTAATGAGACAGGATATTGTTCTAATGGTTGGGAGGAAAGCACACATGTGCTCTGGCCTTCAACACAGGTCTTTTTAATGTAGACCTCTGCTCTTTACTGCCATCAATCTGAGCCCCTAAATTTATCATATTGCAGACTATGTTTATAAAGCACACGGTTTTGAATCAAAATAAACGGAAAATGAAAAAAATTACCTGTGGTCATTATGGACTTGGATGTTGTGCCTGAGTAAATCCATTATAGCTCACTTGAAGCAATTGGAAGCGACATTTATCGAAGAGGTTCAACGGCTTCGCTGTTGCTGTTGTTTTTATGTGAGGTGCATGGAGATTCGGTTCAATGAAAACTGAGTAAAATGGACCCCGAGGGCTTTTCGAGGCGTTTTGAAGGCATAACGAGCCGTTGTGTAAAGACAACATTTTTGCATTGTGCCAAATTGCAAAACCGCAAGAAATCAGTCCTAAAATAGAACGATTGTATTAATTGCAGGAAATTGCTGGTGGAAGATTAAGTGAAATTGTTACATTTTTTTTCTCTCTCGTGCCACCAAAAGAGAGCATTTTCTCAGGGTTGTTTCCACTTAAGAAAATCATTTTCTCAGAATTCACATTGTGGGGCTGGGAATGGCAATCGGGCAGCTGCGAGCGAGCCAAGCACTGGGACCACGTTTGAGAGAGAGGCCCACTTGAGATAAAGTCACCACACATTATGCTGCCTTGCCTCATTTTGTGGTGCTAAATGGCCTGAACAAGTGCAATAATAAGACTGTGACCCAGGCCTTGAAATACAACTATAGAAAGATTATTTTCTTCAGCCTGTACGTGAACTGTAGCACAGCTAGCGGAGAATGTGTGCCAGATCGGGATCCAGATACCACCCTGCATCCAAGTCTGACTCGTTTTTCCCTTGCTGACAAATTTTCTGTGCCTCTCAGTCACACTTTCTCCTTCGAACGTTCACAAACTCGCACACACACTAAATCATACGCACCTCGTTATCTTATTTGCCACTGTTGAATTTAGCAAGCCACCCTTCGTTGTGTGCGATATGCCACACAGCCTTTCCCAGAATGCTTTGCCTGCGACACCTGGCTTGCATTAATTCTGGTCTGAGAAGCCTGGCTGAGAAGTGAACGAGTGTTATGCACTTTGCTCCACTGTTTTTTGAGCTGGAGTGTGAGAAGGGGAGAAGGGGCGAGGAAAGGTTCATTTGGTTTGGGGTTCTGCTGGGGTTTAAATCATAAAAAATATCATTCACAGGCAGCTGAAGGTCTCGCTTGCTGTTTTAACCCTTTAAGAAACTCCAAGAAATGATTAAGGGGAAGAATATATTTTCTCATCGAGTAAAATAACACGTTATTGTACTTGTTTTCATTTTCAGCTTTAATGAAAAAGAAAAAAAATTACCTCAGCCCACGTCCCAATGTGCATACTATACTATCCATCCTAAATTCTATGTGATGGTAGTAATTTTCAATACTATTTAGGGCAGATAGGGTGGATAGTATGCACACTGGGACGCAGGGTAAGCCTCAAAAGTCTGGGGTCAGTAAGATTTTTTTTTTAAAGAAACTAAAAATTCAGCTTTGCCATCAGAGGTATAAATGACATTTTAAAGTATATTCAAATAGAAGACAGTTACTTTAAATTGTAATAATGTTTCACAATATTATTGTATTTTACTGTATTTTTGATCAAATAAATGCAGGCTTGGTGACCATAAAGAGACTTCCTTCAGAAAACATTTAAAAACCTTACCAACCCCAAACTTTGCAATGTTAATGTGCATAATAGGGCTGTGTATCTTTGGGTAGACAGCGAATCGATTCGATTCACGATTCATAGGTTTTCGATTCGATTCAAGAACGATTTTTGCAAATTCACAACGATTAAATTCGATTCGGTTCACAATTAAATTCGATTCGATTAACGATTCGATTCACAGGATTATTTAAATGCTTCACCTAAATTCTTTAAATGCTTAGTCAGGGGGCAAATTACACAGCAGCCTTTATAGTTACAGAAAAAAACTAAACACTTTTGTCTATTGTTAGATGCTAGTTGAATGATGCTATGGCATGACATGGCATATGTAGAAATGTATGAAAGCCAAGATTTTAAAAAAGAGTTTTAAAAGTATTATATAAGCTAACATTTTGACAAACCAGGGGCCACTTATACTTATACATAATTTCAGAAGTGACAGAAATGTCAAATACAATAATTTTATGTATATGTATGTGTATGTATTATTATTTTATTTTTTTTACAAGGAATAATTTTTTTATCTCTTACTTTGAATTTGCTATAAGAAATCAAATACACTGCTGGACAATTTTTTTTCCTAATGGCAATTTTATGATTGTTTTATATACTACAAACAATCATTTAAATTTTCTGCACAGAATAAGGTAAAAAAATAAATAAAATAGGCTACTTTATAAAAAAAAAAATTATATGTCAATTGGCACTGCATCATTCATAAATTGTATTTATTTATTGTGTTTATTGTCTTAACGTTTCAGTTCATTCTGCTTTTTGTACAGTTTAGCTGCAGATATAGCCTTGCATGTCTATGAGCGCGAGATCACTTCTCTTTTAGTGCGAAAACTTCTTTATCTCATTTTCATAAAATAAAATCCTATAGTATTTAACGTTTCCTCTCCATCGGCGAATGCCGATGCTGAAAGAAAACGCACCCGATGTCAGTTTGCTATAGCAACAAACGCTGCTTTCATGCATCTGATTATCAGATAAACCTCGCGCTCTTAATTCAAGGTTGTTTTTAATGCTGTGGTTATTTTAAGAGTTGTCTTCGTACATTCGGTTCAACTACATCGTTATTGTTGTGCACTGAATAATATTGTTTTTAATGTAAGTACATTTTTTAAACTTATACTAAATTATACTTATACTTACTAAGTATAATTTAGTATAAGTTTAAAAAATGTACTTACATTAAAAACAATATTATTCAGTGCACAACAATAACGATGTAGTTGAACCGAATGTACGAAGACAACTCTTAAAATAACCACAGCATTAAAAACAACCTTGAATTAAGAGCGCGAGGTTTATCTGATAATCAGATGCATGAAAGCAGCGTTTGTTGCTATAGCAAACTGACATCGGGTGCGTTTTCTTTCAGCATCGGCATTCGCCGATGGAGAGGAAACGTTAAATACTATAGGATTTTATTTTATGAAAATGAGATAAAGAAGTTTTCGCACTAAAAGAGAAGTGATCTCGCGCTCATAGACATGCAAGGCTATATCTGCAGCTAAACTGTACAAAAAGCAGAATGAACTGAAACGTTAAGACAATAAACACAATAAATAAATACAATTTATGAATGATGCAGTGCCAATTGACATATAATTTTTTTTTTTATAAAGTAGCCTATTTTATTTATTTTTTTACCTTATTCTGTGCAGAAAATTTAAATGATTGTTTGTAGTATATAAAACAATCATAAAATTGCCATTAGGAAAAAAAATTTATATGTATGTGTATGTATTATTATTTTATTTTTTTTACAAGGAATAATTTTTTTATCTCTTACTTTGAATTTGCTATAAGAAATCAAATACACTGCTGGACAATTTTTTTTCCTAATGGCAATTTTATGATTGTTTTATATACTACAAACAATCATTTAAATTTTCTGCACAGAATAAGGTAAAAAAATAAATAAAATAGGCTACTTTATAAAAAAAAAAATTATATGTCAATTGGCACTGCATCATTCATAAATTGTATTTATTTATTGTGTTTATTGTCTTAACGTTTCAGTTCATTCTGCTTTTTGTACAGTTTAGCTGCAGATATAGCCTTGCATGTCTATGAGCGCGAGATCACTTCTCTTTTAGTGCGAAAACTTCTTTATCTCATTTTCATAAAATAAAATCCTATAGTATTTAACGTTTCCTCTCCATCGGCGAATGCCGATGCTGAAAGAAAACGCACCCGATGTCAGTTTGCTATAGCAACAAACGCTGCTTTCATGCATCTGATTATCAGATAAACCTCGCGCTCTTAATTCAAGGTTGTTTTTAATGCTGTGGTTATTTTAAGAGTTGTCTTCGTACATTCGGTTCAACTACATCGTTATTGTTGTGCACTGAATAATATTGTTTTTAATGTAAGTACATTTTTTAAACTTATACTAAATTATACTTATACTTACTAAGTATAATTTAGTATAAGTTTAAAAGCTGGTGCTTGCTTAATGATACGGAGGATGGGAATTTGATTAACCTAATTCCTAATCATGAATATTCTGCAACTGAAAACATTTATTTTCTTGATTATTATTTAAAAAGGCTTTTAGAAATGGGTGTGACGTCATAATGGTTGCAGTGCCGATTATTTACAGTGTTTCTTGCTTGTTTTCTGCTACCAATCAGTCGAGACAAACAGTTTCAAGGAATAATTTGCTTTTTCTGTCTGTTTTGTTATAGGCGGTTCGGGGAAGGGCCACCGGACCAAAGACCAGAAGAAGAAGTCCAACAAGCAGAGGCTGCGCTTCCGGGCTCAGAACCAACACAGCGACCACCTCGCCTCTCTTCGAGCAAGCCAGTAAAAAAAAGAGAGAGAGAGAGAGAGAGAGACTTTTCGATGGAACAAAGACCACAAAGCTGCTAACCCATGCTCCAAACACACCTAACCTGATGAAAACACACTACGCATCCAAACGGTATTATTCACACTCATGTGGTCACGCTGTGTTTCTCTGTGCCTCCTGCTGCTTCACATAGCCCCCGACCCGTGACCCCACTGTGATATCATGGAACACTATAGCAGCTGTTCATATAGCTCATATCTCGTCCTATCTGAGGAGGAAGAAGAGAGAGACTGAGCTGGAAGCACCGAAAAGCTTGGGCCTGGAGACCTGGAGGAGTAGAACAAGCACAGAGTGGCGAAAGGAGCAGAAGGGATTAGAAACGTGATTGACTGATAATGATGCCCTGAAAAACAAGAGAGAGACTTATCTGTATTTATGTACAATTTACACCATCCCCTCCCCTACGAAATCAAGGCAGAGTGTGTCATGTATTGCCTTTCTTGTCCAATAGGTACTTTGTTTTTCATAGCAATGTTGCAAACCATGCATAGTTGCGAAATTATTATTCTCAGCACATCTCAAGATGTTTACGTCCAGACCGCTTTATGCTTTGACTGTATATTGTGGGTAAGAATCTTAGTTGTTCAACTAGCATGGCCACAAACTCATGTGTACATAGTTGGTGAGTTTATCTAATAACGGTAACATTGATGATAAATATAAAAAAAAATTACTGTATTTTCAGTATTGACACCTTCAGAGTTTAAATGTGTAAAGGGTTATAATACCAGCTACAGTTAAATGACTTTAAAAAGAACAAAAAGCTAAATAAAAAGCATAGCCTCCACATAGCTATTACATTTATATGGTATATAATTGATTTATTTATTGATCTTTTTTATTATTATTATTTTTATGTTTGGTGAAAATTATGTCTCTGTACCTGATACTCCTCAGTGCTGAAGTATTTTTTCAACCACTTATAACAATACAAAATATCTCCAACAGTGGAAAGCGATTGTGTCTGATTTGCCGATACATTTCCTTCAGAAATTCCCTTGTGTAAACCTGGTTTAGCATCTTGTACTTTATGTTGATCACACATCCTGCAGCAGCTGAAGTATATCGTCAACTGATTGATAATGTGTATATTGTGTGCTAATAAAACGCAGTTCATGTTGCACTTCATGGTGCCGTTGTATATTTTCAGAACTTCGCCAACCTCCCGTCAAGTCCCTAAGCTCTATTACGTAACGTTTGTCATTTCACAGCACACCAACAGATATGCCCAATTGGCAGCAGAGAATGGGGCTCTTGTTGGAATGCGACATCATTCGGAGCAGCTGTAAGTCTTTCTGACAGGTGCAAATGGCATCAATTTGTCTATCGCTACAGACACTGAAACCACTTCACAAAACCTCTCAGAATGAAAATGAATAAACATTTTCTTCAGGTCGGTTCTGCCAAAACGGTTTTATTTGAGTCACGGACAATTAACCTAGTGCTATGTTCTGTATAATCATTGCCTCTGGAGAGAGAGAGAGAGAAAAAAAGCCTAATCTTACAAACAGTCTCCATTTATCATGTATAAAAAGTCAGACAGTAAACATCCAGATGCACCTGTAAACCTAGAAATTATTTCCAGAAGAGAATAAATATAATAAATAACTTACGTACAGTTTAGAGTGGTTGAACTGCGTAAAGAAATGAATACATAAATAAATTGACTGTTTGAACATTTATATGCAATCATAAAATTTTTGCTAATTTTACAGGATGTAAGTGGGAGGGAAATTGGGGCATTTTATCCAACCTTGTTACATTTGCAAGATAGAAATATGAAAGATCTTTTTGCAGTTACTTTAGGATTTTATGCTTTATCCTCCTAATTATTTTGAAAGACACTTGGAAAAAAACTGTTAAATGAATTATGAGACAAAAATGTAGCCCATCTTTGAGGTAGGATTATAAACCATGTAGTGAATGTATATGTAAAATGAACTATTTAAACAACCATCTGCTGTGGGTTACAAGCTAATGAACTGCACACAGATGTCACCTCGAGGGCCACACAATCACCAAACCAAACTGTAAAATCATAGTCAAGAAAGTGGCACACTTAAGTGATTCATTAAAGAGAAGGCCACCAGCAACACAACATAATTTTCTATGAATAGTTAATCCAAACTAACTTTGAGGTAGGATTATAAACCATGTAGTGAATGTATATGTAAAATGAACTATTTAAACACCCATCTGCTGTGGGTTACAAGCTAATGAACTGCACACAGATGTCACCTCGAGGGCCACACAATCACCAAACCAAACTGTAAAATCATAGTCAAGAAAGTGGCACACTTAAGTGATTCATTAAAGAGAAGGCCACCAGCAACACAACATAATTTTCTATGAATAGTTAATCCAAACTACCAGTTTATCACTGTTTACTCACCATCACATCGTTCCAAATATCCGTAAAAATAATATTTTTGAGTTAGTCGTTCTTTTGAATCAAATCTTTTCAATATGAGTCCGTTGGCTAACAAAAGCATTCTGAATGATTCATTTGCTGATTGGACAGATCCGGTTGTCAAGTTCAACTCACTGATTCAACTTGACTAGAGCAAATGATTATCATTACATAACAACTTAAATCACTTTGTTCCTCACACTAACCTATCATATGAATTGAATTCACTAAATTGTATGATGCTTTTATGGAACATCTGCGTCCTTTTTCAGGTTTGAAGTTCCCAACCGTAAATGAAATGAGGGGGGGGAGCTTCCTGTTGTGTTCCACAGAAGAAAGTCCGGTTTGAATCGACGTAAGGGTGAGTAAATGATGACATGCTTTTTTTTTTTTTTTTGGGGAAAGTAATCTTTTATATCCAGGACCAGGACACAAAGCACATGCTAATGTTAAAGTAATGTCTGTCCACACATCAGACGATTGTGTTGCCCGTTTGCTCTTGCCATTTTGCGATTCTCTTTTCATCACAAAACCACTTCTGTAAACTACGTGGCAGCTAGCCTATAGTCTGTATTTTACTGGTGTGTGTATCTGTGGTAAGAGGTTCTGGTTTAGTTGAGTCTATGGCTTCCTTTTAATCTGACGGAGTGCGTTTTCATTAGCTCCATTTGGTTCTATTATTATGGCACACTTCAAAGACTGAACAAGTGGAACCACAAACAGGAAATGCTGTTTGTGAGGCCTGAGTGCTAGTGGTCCTCATTCTCAGCACGATTTCTCTTTCATCACTCTGTCATGTACAGAGTGTTTGCAGCCTGAATGACACATTTGTTCCAAAGCAGATGCCGGAGATGGAAGTTATGACATCGCATCGCCAGATTAATAACTTTTCTGGGACAATAAACCTTGAAATAATTTGCTGTTTTCAATAACTGTGTAATGGTGCATTGGTTGCCCATCGAGGCAAAGGAAATCTGGGATCATTAGCCCTCTCAATGAAAATGACATTTTTGGCGAGACATCCTGCGTAGATGTGTATGCTCCGATATTACAGGCCAACATTGTATGCCGGTGTAGAGTACAACACTGTAAAAAAAATTCTGTAGTTTTTACAAAATAATTTTGGCAGCTGTGGTTGCCAGAATAATTTTGTAAAAAATACAGCAAAAAAGCTGTAAACACATTTACGGCCAAAAACTGTAAATTTTACAGTATAAAACTAATTAACAAACAAGAAAATTTGAATGTAAACCAGTAAATTCAACAATGCACACTGCTATTAAAATCAGTTTTGTACCTTTAACATATTGACAACCACCATAATAATGCAGGTGGTAAAAGAGAAAGCCACATTAAGAATCAAAGCTCATCACAAGTAGCTTCGCCACAAGCAGAAGTACATACCAATAAATAGAAGGTGCACAGAGTCATTCATGCAAACACAAAACACCATCATGGTAACACACATTATACCTAAATAATGCATTAAACTTTCATTAAACAACAGAAGATGTAACATAAAGCCCAAATATACATAACTAATAACAAAAACTATTAAAAAAACATGATTATTTAAACAAAATACTTTCAAATGTGGAGTGTCATGCATGGAATTCTGGGAATATCAGTTTACAGTTTTTGACTGTAAATTATACATTGATTTGTTATTTTTACTTCTAAAAACTAAAAAACTAACTTAGCATTTTACTGTAAAATTACATGAAATGTCTGGTTAGATATTTTACAGTTTTTCCCTGTATATAGTACGGGAACTTACTGTTAACCTATTAACAGTTTTTTTCCGTAGCGTTTTTACAAAATTTTACAGTTAAAATTACATTTATTTTTTACAGTGAACTTTACCATATGTCAATGCCCAAAACACAAAATTGCTAAGAAAGAGAGATTCATACAACAGTTTTTTCTGGTCCTCGACTCTGATTGGCTGAAATACTTTTCCAGGAGAGCCATAGTCTAGTGATAAGAGAGCTCCAAACGTTTCACTGTTTGAATCTCTCCGCTTGCAGTATTTCTTACAGCGAGTGCCGTGGCAGACGCCCAAATCCACTATAATTTTATAAATAATTTATTTTAAATATTTAAATAATCTATTTTTGTGTCAAGGAATGTAGCCTAGTTGTTTAGACTTCAAATATCTCGGTTTGTTAATAGAGATAACGCCTATTTGAAAATTTGTTTCAACGTTCTTAGAGACGTGAGCTTCAGGGCCTCTCATTAATCTATTATTTGTTCCAGAGAAAATCATATTGGCTAAGGGCAAAATCTCGTAACATTATATTTTATATACATTTAATGCTGTATATCAGAGCACTGCCTTTGTACTTCTGACTGAATTGTCTAGCAACTTTTTATGATGGCTGTTTGTTGTTTCAGTGACATTTTTGTATTTAGTAAGGAAGGCTTGGGCTCAACTGTTAAACTGTCAACTTGAGAAAAGAGGGTTTTTAAAGACACTCCGTTATTGTTTCTTATGTATTTACACACTCGTTGCGTCGAACTGTTGTAGAAATGCAATATCACACTCGTAGAAGTGTGATATGGTTGTATATCAGCATATTGCCATTAGGGCTGGGCGATATGATGATATTATCGTATATCGACGATGTCTCGTAAGTATCGCGATGTCGATGTCAACAGTTAGGTAACAGACAATTATCGGGAAAAAAATTACAAATGACAACTCCAGTAAGTTGCAAAAAAAAATATTTTACATAGCCCCATAGTCACCATACAGGTCTTTTTGCATGCAAGAATTAAATAATTTAGTAGGAGGGTTGGGAATTGGAATAGCTTTTCGATTCCCAACTATTCGGAAATCAGATCAGATGCATAAGGTCAGGAATCAAATTACTTGTTATAAAATTACATTTCGATTCTGCTCGTCGATTTAAAGTTTCAACTGCAAGAAGATGAAACAGAACTCAGTTCTGCACTCGCGCCCTGTTTTCCGCTCTGCGCGCACACACAAAGCGC